CGAACCCGCGCGCTCCCGCTCTCCCGCTGCCCTCCCCCGCTGATGGGAGCCGCTCGCCAGGGCGGGGTGCGCGGTGGGCGGGGACTCAGCGCCAACGGCAGGGGGCAGCCGAGGAGGATCGGGGCGCTGCGCTGTAATTGGCTGAAGGCGATGAATATATTTAGAGAGCTACAGAAAAGCGCGCGTCTATGCATTTTTAGCGGATTTTCAGGGGTTTTATATAGTCATACGAGAATTAAGGTAAATCTGTCGTAGAGGGATGAGAAAGAGATGTCAAGTTCAGAAGGAAGAAAACGGAAACGTTGTCTCACTCTAAGCTGAAAAGGGGCGAGGCGCTCGTGGTTTAAATAGCAGAAACGGCAGAAACTGAAGGGTGTTGTATGAAAGGAGAGAAGGTTAGCACTCCCCTTGATAAGGATGGAAGAGGCCCTTGTGGCCTATACAACACGCATACGGTTAAGGCACTGCCACCTACTTCGTGGCATCTAACCATGTTTTTTTTTCCCACGGGGAGATCCTAAAATCCCCACCCGGCTCCCTCTCGCTCCTTCCTTCCCCCAGATTTTGCCCCAGCCTGAAAAGCACCCAGCCGAGCAGCACCCCACAGTGATCCCTCGCTTCCCCTCAAACCCCACGAGCCTGCACCCAAACTCCATCCCTCCTACTACAAAGGGTAAACCAGCCCAGAATCAGCTAATCCTGACCAAACCACCCCCGACAGCCCAGGGTGGTCACAGTTACAGCTAAATATTGCTCATGCTGGTAGGCCCCAGTATTATTCCCAGGTGGGATACTGGGGACTTAAACACCTTTGCCAAGGACAGCTTTCCGGTAGATCCTTGACAGCTGGGATCTTCAGTTTGGGGGAAACTAATATCCCTGTTCAAGGGGATTTTCTCCTGAGGGCAGGGAAACCACCTCCTTTCTCCACAGCTCTTTGGCTCAGAGGGCAGGGAAAGCCATTCAGCGACACGGGAATTTGAATCCCGGTGAAAACGCTCTGCTGGAATTATTTCTCCACACTGGTGAAGTAGCAGAGCCACATCCTGGAGTCAAAGTTTCCTTGACGTGTTAGAAAAAGGCTAAAAAATCATGAAGAAACAGATTTCAGCAGTGACACCAAGTGTAGAGACACAGCATCCTTCCCGGGGGTAGGGAAAAGCCTCCAAAGACGTAACAGCCAGTTCAGCACCCGCTCAACGTGAGCTCTACTTTTGTATTTTAAAAAGAAAAGCTCAGATCTTGCAGCTGTCCTCGCCAAGGGCCAAGCAGGGCAGGCTCTGAGCAGCCACGAGGGAGAGGCTGGAACTGACTTTCAGTTATTATCAAGCAGGAGGTTGATACTAAAAAAACCCCAGATTTTCTCTTCAGAGGAGCAAAGCATCCCCTTCCGAAGGCGCTGGCTGCAACGAAACGCGCGCCTCAGCACCCTCATTGCTCAGCCTGCCCCGCCGCTTCCGCGCGGGGAGGGCAGCGCGGTGCCTTTCCCCTTAGCTAAGGGCCCCGCGAGGGTCTGCACTAACGCTGCCGCGGACACCTTCAGCTCCAGCTTCTCTCTTTAAACGCGTTCTGGCTCGAGTTATGCTCCTCGCTGCTTTCTCCACAGCCGATGTAAAGCACCAGGCCGCTGCTGCCGCCGTCTCCAACGGAGCTGCTGGAGAAACGCTCCCTCCGGAGGGGCGGGCGGCTTCTCTGGACACAGACACGTCACATCAGTACACTCTCACCACAAGCGTACACATAAAATCCCACCTTTTTATTATGGCATATGGCATTTTCTCGGATGTGTAAATACCACACGGGTATGACAAAAAAGGAAGGAAGTACCAACGCTGCTATAGATACAGAGTCATGCCGTTATCAGTACAGTTTCATACCATGGATGTTCAAGATACAAAAGTCTGGGGGGTGTTTTTCCTTTTTACATTGAAATAACTTTACAGTGTTCCGTGAGTTTGCTCCATAACCAGAAGAGGAGGAAATTAAAAGTATGCTGAGAACAACTACAAGCAGGATTCATTTTAATGGTTAACAGAACTGTAACTTGGCTCTAGAACAGCATCTATTAAACACACGTAACGAGAGGGAAGCAACTATACAGAGGGTCAGAGATTTCACCACGGGAGTCAAGGCTGGGGCGGGAAGAGGGAAATCCGGAACGGTATGGTTTTATTTGGTCACATAGTTTGAACTGAGTGTTTAAAACGAAGCACCCTTAAAGATGCAGTACTCCTATTGAAAACAATACAGAGACTAGAACCTACATTCTGGAAAAAAAATATAATAATTAGACATTTAAAAAAAAAAAAAAAGAAACTTCCACACACGGCCAGGCTCGGGATTCAACTCACTGTTAGAAAGGAGATG